GGTCAGGTCAGATACACCTGTAGCTTAGCTCCCTCTAAAGAAGTGACTTTCCCCTCACGCCTTCTTTCCCTCGCCCTCTGAGATGATAAGCTCTGGCGATGCCTTTTGAAACCACTCGCACCAGGAACCATCATAAAGGCAAACCCCGGGATGCCCGAGCAGGTGGGCGGCCAGAATGACTTGACACGCTGTGACGCCTGAGCCGCAAGAAGCCCAGAACGGTCGCGTCATGTCCACCCCTGCATCCTTGAAAATCTCAGCCAGGCTCTCGGTATCCTTCACCTTTCCAGAGGGATCCAGTAAAGTTGTATATGGTATGTTGATCGCTCCGGGGTAATGTCCAGGCAGTATGTCTGTGACCGGGAGAGAAAAGAGTGAGAAATTTAGGGGACTTATCAACATGGGACAGGTTTTTATCTTAAATTTCTTCCATAGCTTTTAGCAGCATCTCCTGGACATCATCAGTGGACGTTTGCTTCAGTGAGAACCACCAAGATAGAAGCTGAGCACACAGTATCTGCTGGTTATCTACACGTGGCTCAAGAGCTGTAATTAGCAGCTGAAATAAAATTTGGGTGATGGTTTTCTACACGGCTCACAGTTTCTATCAGCAGCTTTTTTGTGTCCCAGCATCCCTGAGCTGAGGCAGCCACGTCAACCCAATCAGCCATCCAGACATTTTATTCTACTTTTTCCAATGAGTGGGCTTTAGCCTATCCCAGCTGTCACAGTGCAAAAGGCACGGTGTGAGGTAACGGTGCTAACCACTGCTCCACTGTGCTTATGGCCACACCTCCCCAAGCACATGGATCTCATCTGTTTTTCAGACAAAGCTGAGCAGGGTCGGGCTTGAGAATATCACATGTTCTAAGCTCAGCAGTGTCAGTGAAGGTTAAATTTGTGCCTATCACACAGTGTATCCAGGTTATTATAGTTTTGTGGGCGAGACTCAAGAAGTTAAGAAAAATATTAAAGGACAAATGGGCACTTTAGTCACAGTTGTGGAAACATTCCGGGTGCCGATTAAGATCCATCTGCTCATCTCCGCAGTAACACTTAACAGTTCCCAGCATCCCAATGTGTACCCAGGCAATAGGGGATATAGAATCTCTCCAGCTGATTTTGGGTCTGGGGTGTCCAAACCAGGAGGAGCAGCGTTTCTGGAAAACTTCCAAATGGAAAACTACAGGATCCCAACCAGCTGCCTGAAACACCCCAACTGGCTCGTTTTGGCACATGCTTACTTTGTGCAGGTGTAATAAAAAATAAAAAATAAAAAACCTACAGAGACTCTTCAATAATATTTATTTTTTAGTTATCAATTATCATTAGATTTTTTTTCTTTTCATTTCACATTCCGTACCTACTTCAGATTTTACTTTAGTTTAAGTTCACTATAGTAACCTTACTGAAGAGTTATGTTCAGTGACAAAAAGCAGGAGCAGAGGGCAAGGCCACCACAGGACACGGCCACAGGGCACGGCCTTTGATAACAGCCAAAAGTTTTCAAGATAACAGCCAGTGTATACAGAGTACCTTAAAAACAAAGTACAAGTACCTCTAAAACTCAATGCTGTTTCAAAGGCAAAGAGTGCTGAAGCTAATTTCTTTTCCTGCACTTTATGTAAAAGTAGCTATTATATAAAAAGTGCTGATAGTAGTATTTTTTGAAAGCATGTTCACTTTGGAGTATTGCACACAGCACTGTGTACACGATAAATGACAGCAGCAACATGTGAACTATGCAAAGCAGTCTCATCTTTCTTGTTTTGATGCAAAACCCTACATGTTGTATCTTATGCTCAAATCTGTTTTTAACCCTTGGAGAACTAACACGACTGACAGATAAACAAACTTGGCCACTTCTTAAGTTTAAACGCTTAAAGTCTGACTCACCCTCTCGGGGCTCTGGCTCAGTACCCTTGAACCTGCCAGGAGACCTGGCGTCCACAACCTGGACCTGCTTGGTTCTGATGTTTTCCAGCACGTCCTCGTAGCTTTTAACCCACGACGGGTTCAGAGTGGCCTTAAACTCTCTGCTCTCCGGCTTCAAGTACTCGGACGTCACTGGATAGCCGTCAACCAGCCAGTTCTTGAAGCCACCATCCAGCAGCGACACCAAACTGTGCCCGAACAACCGGAACATCCACCACACGCGGGGCGCGCTGTACGCCCCGGTGTCGCTGGTGTCGTACACGACAACGTGCGTGTCATTCCCGATGCCCAGATCACCCACATATTGCGAAAAGTAGCTGGCAGTTGGCAACATATGATCAAACGCAGAGTTCTTGTCAGAACATTCGTCCAAATCGAAAAAGGACGAGCCCGGGATGTGCTTCTGCGCAAACTCCTCTCTGGTGTTCCGTTTGGTTTTCGGCAGGTACCAAGAAGCGTCGAGAACGCGAAGCTTGGGACCGATCAGGTTATTTCTGACAGCATTTGCCAGCCACTGACCTGACACCAGAGCACGGGTCTGAGCCGCCATGACGAGCCTCTGCATGAAATACAAACCCGGAGCGCTAGAGGGAAGTCACTGTGCACTTTTGTTTTTGAGGAGCGAACAAGTTCGCCACGTAAAGATCCTTTTGAGAATAAAGTCGCAATTTCGAATCACAGTCCAGATGAAGACGGTTAATTGAGACTAACCACCAGTTCAGCTGCTCATTAACGGAAATATCTAATCATCCAATCACATGGCAGCAACTCAGTGCACACAGGCATGTAATGTAGACACGCTCAAACTAAGCCAAATGGGGATGAACGTTTAATTCAAGTGACTCTGAACATTAATGACACACTGGTTGGTCTTAGTATTTCACAAACTGCTAATCTGCCCACCTGAGTACAGTTGCTGACCATGTCCATTTTTGACCATAGTGTACCCACCTTGTGGCGACAGCAAGTAAACGCACCACATCACAAACCCGAAATCATCTCAAACTGGTTTTTTGAACATAACAATGCATTAACTGTACTCCAAAGTCATCACATCCTTTGGTATGTGGTGGAACGGGAAGGTCACATCATGGAAGTGCAGCAACGTTGTGACACTATCATGCCAACAAGGACAAAAAATCTGGACTTAAATCAAAGAATTCAAAGAATCAGAAGTGTCGTAACTTTTAAATTAGAGTGTTTGAATACTAGAATAGCTTCAGTGTGTTTTCCAAGAGCTATTTCCTATTTTGGTGTCGATGATGGTGATGCAGTGCTGCGTAACACGATGGTCCTCCCATAGAAGGTCTGCTGGGCTGAGATCTACTGACTGAAAAGCCTAATTTTCACATTCATTAAACCACTTCCTGACATCTCGTGCTGTACCTGTTGAAGACATTGCTTCCACCAGGATAGAAATGATTCATCATGTAAGACAAAGACGACCACTCAGGACACCTTTGCATTGATTTGCAGTCACCCCTTGCTGTTAGGTAAGAGTGTTAATCATTTTAGATCACTGGCCATATACAGCTCAGTTTCATCTCAGGTAGACTGGACCAGTAAATCATTTACTTAATAAACTATATTTAAAAAAGCAGTAAGATTTTTAAAAGGTTAAGCTGGATGTACTAGTAAAAGACACACCCCTTACCTCACTTGCCTAAAAATTACCAGACGCTAGAAGATGTAATTAATTTCTTTTAAAAGTATTTTTCTTATTTAACAAGTAGTTCATTGAGAGAACAGAAGATGGAGAGCCCGAGATGTCTTAAGGAACATCTTTAAGTGCACTTTAAAAAATATATAAGCCACTTTTTCTACTGTTACAGCGGAAAGGTGGAACCTCTAAATTCACATGTAGAGTTTCTGCACTGAAACAACAGTATTTATATAACTTATTTAGATACAGACATACTTTTCATTGAATCAGTTCTTATAAATACTGGCATATTAGTACTTTTTAGCAATGCAATTGATTCAATGATTCGACTGCATTTTTCAAACTTTGCACAGCACTGTCATCAGTGAGATTTCCCCCCCTTTGGTGGGACAGTTTCTTCTGTTCTCTACATGTTTATTCACTTTAAATCTTTCTCTTTTGAGTTATGAATAAATGTCTTTATCAAGCACAAAACGTCTTATGTATCTAATATTCATGTGAAAATTGCCCAATAAGTACTTTCTTGCTTTCTGAGTTTAAAACCGAGGTCACAATGAACTAAAGAACCTCAGAGTCAGATTTGTAATCAGATTTTATTTTTATCATTCATAAATCACAAATAAAGATGATAAACATTTCTAAATAAAGTTGTGTCACTTCTTTTTTATCCTCAAAGCTTGCTTTTAGCCTCTGAGAACCTCTCAGAGGAGGAAATACACGATGGCGCTGGCATCATGTGAGCAGCCAGCATCATGTGACAGGCCGTCACACTGGAGCCACAAAGCAGCTCACTCAGGTCCACCTGTGACCTCAAAGAGCTGCTTTAGCTCCTGCGTGGAAAGCATCATGCGGTCACTATCAAGGCAATTGGAAAAAAAAATGC